ACACCTGGACTCATGAAGGACTCACACCTGGACTCACTCCTGGACTCACACCTGGACTCATGAAGGACTCACACCTGGACTCACTCCTGGACTCATGAAGGACTCACACCTGGACCCATGCAGCCCACTTCAGGACACACTAACAGGTTGGGTCTGGTCCAGGTTCTGTAGGGTTATTGGAACCTGTCAGTTTCTCTGTGAACAGGTTGTCTTCATCTGTACAGAAACAGCTTCAAGCTGTTATGACTTATTAACTTATTAACTTATTGACTTAATAACTTGTTAACTTATTAACTTATTATAGCAACAGGTTATGATTGTTTTTATTTCCTCTGAATAATTAAACAGAGTAAATGAGTAGAAATATTTGGTGAAATAATGAATGTATCAGTAACAAGGTGTGCTACAGGTGAGACATGTGGGTCTACAGAGACCTGAGACATGTGGGTCTACAGAGACCTGAGACATGTGGGTCTACAGAGACCTGAGACATGTGGGTCTACAGAGACCTGAGACATATGGGTCTACAGAGACCTGAAGCACACGGTCAGTGTTTGCAGTAGTGAAGCTCTGTGTTCTTCAGTCTGGTTGACCTGAAGTTAGTGGACTTAGATCAGGGGGGGTCCAGTCCTGGTCCTGGAGGACCAGTACCTGAATGCTGTGGAGGTTTGTAAAACATGGGGCTCTCTGTGACCTGCTGCTGAGAAACACCTGAGCATGAACCTACCACTGCTGTGCTTTGTCCTCTGGTTGTGGACTTGGGTGGTCTCACATCCCACTTACAGCTGAACTTTGACCCAGTCAACCAGCTGAGGACCTGAAGTCCTGAAAGCTTCACTGAGGACCAGGACAGGACACCTGTGCTTTAAGTAAAACTATAAAACCTTTATGAAAGATCTGCAGTTTGGTAACGCTGAGTCTGTGTTCAGGAGGACTCTCAGCTACTACCAACCCAACAAAACTGTTCTCCAGGATGATTGACAGAGGGTAAGACAAGCCTCCAGTACAGACACATAATGTCCCACCGTTTGGCTTTGAGTGACACCTGGTGACACCTGGTGAAATCTGGTGACACATGGTGAAATCTGGTGACACCTGGTGACACCTGGAGAAACCTGGTGAAATCTGGTGACCTGGCRACACCTGGTGACCTGGTGTCACCTGGTGAAATCTGGTGACACCTGGTGACACCTGGTGACCTGGTGAAATCTGGTGACCTGGTGAAACCTGGTGACACCTGGTGACCTGGTGTCACCTGGTGAAATCTGGTGACACCTGGTGACACCTGGTGACCTGGTGAAATCTGGTGACACCTGGTGACCTGGTGAAATCTGGTGACCTGGTGACACCTGGTGACCTGGTGAAATCTGGTGACACCTGGTGAAATCTGGTGACACATGATGAAACCTGGTGACACCTGGTGAAATCTGGTGACACCTGGTGACCTGGTGAAATCTGGTGACCTGGTGACACCTGGTGACCTGGTGAAATCTGGTGACACCTGGTGAAACCTGATGACACCTGGTGAAATCTGGTGACACCTGGTGAAATCTGGTGACACATGATGAAACCTGGTGACACCTGGTGACCTGGTGAAATCTGGTGACCTGGTGACACCTGGTGACCTGGTGAAATCTGGTGACACCTGGTGAAATCTGGTGACACATGATGAAACCTGGTGACACCTGGTGACCTGGTGAAATCTGGTGACCTGGTGACACCTGGTGACACATGATGAAACCTG